TGCTGATTTGTAAAATGTCTCCACCTCAGCTTTAGTCACAGCTTGGCTACTGCTTTCATCATTTACTAATGACTGCATACCTTCCAAAATTTCAAATGGATAAAGAGGGACACTTTAATGTTAATTGTGCGAGTGGAGGTGTGGCCAGGGGTGGGGCTGTACTGAAAATTTTTAGGTGACTTACTAATAAAAATCTATGCAAATAAATGTAATTTAGAACAATATCAAAGTATCTTATGTACACAGGCTGGTTTCTAAATACTTGTGTAATTTAAAGACACATTACTGGGAGTATTATTGCTGTGGAACTCTGTCATACACAGAAACACTCCATCAATATGGAGCTTCCAGAAAAGTGGCATTAGGATAGAAAAGATGGGCAGAGGGATTTATGCCAAAAATAGGAACAAAGTATGAATGAATGAACAAGTCATTTTCTGACTGTTAGGACCATTACTACCCTACTATAACAGTATTTCTCAATTTGGTTGATAGAGTGCCTCACTGACACCACAAATACAGACTTTATGCATTAATATTTCCATCCTGTATTTTACCCCTGGATTTATTTTTTTTAAACTTACTTCATCCTAGCCTTACATACATTTTCTGGATGTCATAATTGTGATTTTCCACCATTCCCTTCAAGGACCTCTCCCAACATTGAAAAATTTTGTGACAGGATTTAATCTTGTTTTCCTACCCCACTCCACAGGACATAATTCTTCCCCCATTTAAGGTCTCACTTGCAATGCAACTAAACTGGCCTACTTGCAGTGCCACAATTTGAAAACTGGATCATTTTTACTCCTTCCCATACAACCTGTATTGTTCCTAGATATCTCTGCTCCCTGATCACTCTACCCGCAAGATGTCAAGTATTGTAGAACTAATTTTTTCAGCTACTTTTTGCTACTGCCTTTTCCCTTACCCCTAGCTGGTCCTTTCCTTGCTACTACTATTGTTACTATTAATTGAAAAGCATGGCAACCTCTCAAGATCTCAATATATGCCCTGTAATTGCAACAAATTCTGGAATTCAAGCAGATAAAAATTTAGCAGTACGCTGCCTAGACTAGAACCCAATGCTAGTAACGGTGGCAACCAGGCTCAGCAATACTATAGAGAACCATTAGATGGACAGGATTGACTGAGAAGATTATGCCAACTTGTGGTCCTTAGAGAAGCTGCAGATATGCAACAAACAAAATGAAATTCACAAGTTGGTAGAATTTTTATAAGGTAGGTGGGGATCCAGCATCGAGTGTCCCTTTAAGCCTCAGTTGTGCTTTGTGTGACAATTAGTACTTCAGTACTCAAACATCCAAAAGTGGTACGCACAGGATGAGATGTCTTCTACTAAATAGGATGAATTTAGGATTATCCCAGCATGTGGAGCCCTCTTTTGTGGACCTGATTGAAAACACATTACTTTTAATAATACCCAAACAGAATATTTTACCTGAGTACCTTCATACAAACTGTATAGTATACAATAGACAAATGAGAATGTTGGACCTTCATACAATGATGATATTTTCCCTAATACTGGCCAAGACCACCAACATTTTTGGAATGTGTATGTCCATCTATAAACCTCAATTTAACAATCCATAAAACTAAGTTTGATGTAAATATTAGTAGTTTGTTATACATAACATATCTGTTTCATCTGGGTAGATGCAGCACTGCAAGGCATTATATAACTGTATAGTTTTCTATTTGTTTTTGCTGAACGTAATGCCGTTTAGATCAGGTATTATTTGTAAAGTCTCTACTGCAAGTTATTCCGACCTCAGTTGACCCACACTTGGCCGAAGATGCAATAACGTTAAATGACAAGTAATAATACTTTAAAGATCTGAAGGGCGAGAGCACGACCCGTTATTGTTACAAAAACCTATACACTTGTCCAGAGTCTTCTTTGGGATATTATATTTATGTAGGCAGGCAAAGCAATGCTATTTAATGGGATCTTTATTATTTATAGTCAGACAGATAAAAATTGTACAGAACAATGATCAATGTATAATGTCACATACAACACAAGGCAAATAATTAATACACAAATTGCAAACATCATTGAAACGCATATGCAAAGGGAATTTCTAAAAGAAGAGAAGTCACCTAAACAAATCAATAGACTTTGCTTGCTGTTTGTACCAGTTTTAAAACTTTTCCTATATCTGTTATGAATAAAAATCACTATACTTAGTAAAAACATATTACATAGTCAGGGATGTGTTCACTCTGGTATAAGGGCTGAAAATGTTTCTACTAATTAGTTCTACTAACTAACCTTAGTTTATATTTA